CAAACCTCATAATAACCACTAAGAAAAAGAGCAGAACAGAGACACAAATAGTAAATAAGGAGAAAACAAAGAAACACAACATAAAAAACTATATAACTCAGTTGGTAGACTGAAACACACAGGACGAGAAACAAAGGAAATGCAGGACAACCGGAAAATGAGTGATAAAATGACAGCATTAAGCCCTAATATAGCAATAATCACCCTGAATGTAAACAGATTAAATTCTCTAATAAAAAGACTCAGAGTGATGAGACAGATTAAAGAACAAGGCCCAACATTATGCTACCTCCAGGAAACACAACTCAGCTCCAGTGAAAAACACAAGTTCAGAGTGAAGGGATGGAAGACAATACTCCAAGCTGATAGCAAACAAAAGAAAGCAGGTGTTGCCATACTTATACCAGACAAAGTAGACTTCAAGATAAGACAGCTTAAGAGAGACAAAGATGGGCAGTATATAATAATTAAAGGTACACTCCACCAAGAAGACATAACACTTATAAATATCAATGCACCCAACAGAGGAGCACCAAAGTACATAAAGCAACTATTAACAATGCAAAAAGGAGATATTAATAACAGCACAATAATAGTAGGGAACCTCAGCACTTCACTCACATCAATGGATAGATCATCCAGACAGAAAATCAACAAGGAAACAGTGGAAGTAAATGAAAAGACAGACCAGTTGGACTTATTAGGCATATATAGAACACTCCATCCGAAAATAACATAATACACATTCTTCTCAAGTGACATGAGACATTATGAACAATAGACCATATTGTGAGAAACAAGGAAAGCCTCAATAAATTTAAGAAAATTGAAATAATAACAAGCATCATTTCTGATCGCAAAGCTATGAACCTAGAAGTAAATTACAAGAAAAAAGCTAAGAAAGGGACAAAGATGTGGAAACTAAACAACATGCTATTAAACAACCAATGGATCATTGAAGAACCCAAAGGAGAAATCAGAAAATATCTTGAGACAAATGAAAATGAAAACATACCATACCAACTCATATGGGAGGCAGCAAAAGCCTTAGTAAGAGGAAAATTGATCGCAATACAGGCTCTTTGTAAAAAACAAGAAAAATCCCAAATAAGCAACCTCAAACTTCACCTAACTGAATTAGAAAAAGAAGAATAAACAAAGCCCAAAGTCAACAGGAGAGAACAGATAAAAATCAGAGCAGAAATAAATGCAATTGAAACAAAAAAGGAAGGAGAAATGATCAATGAAACAAAGAACTGGTTCTTTGAGAAGATGAACAATATGGACAAACCCCTAGCCAGACTTACACAGAAAAAAAGATAGAAAGCTCAGATAAATAAAATTAGAAATGAAAGAGGAGAAATAACAGATACCACAGAAATACAAAGGAGGATAAGAGAATACTATGAGAAGCTATATGCCAACAAAATGGACAATCTAGAAGAAATGGATAAATTCTTAGACTCTTACAACCTCCGAAAGCTGAATCAAGAAGAAATAGATAATCTGAATAGACCAATCACAAGTAAAGAGATTGAAACAATAATCAAAAGCATTCCCCAAAATAAAAGCCCAGGACCAGACGGCTTTCCTGGAGAATTCTACCAAACTTTCAGAGAGCATTTAATACCTATCCTTCTCAAGCTACTCCAAAAAATAAGGGAAGATGGAATACTTCTTAACACAATCTATGAGGCCAACATCACTCTGATACCAAAGCCTTACAAGGACAACAGAACAAAGGAAAACTACAGGCCAATATTGCTGATGAATATAGATGCAAAAATCCTCAACAAAATATTAGCAATCGGAATACAGAAATACATCCAACAGATCATACATCATGATCAAGTGTGATTTATACCAGGGACACAAGGATGGTTCAACATCCGCTAATCAATCAGTGTGATACACCACATTAACAAAATGAGGAATAAAAACGTGATCATCTCAATAGATGCACAGAAAGCATTTGACAAGATCCAACAGCGATTCATGATAAAAAAAATCTCTTTAAAAAATGGGGGTAGAGGGAAATTACCTCACTATAATAAAGGCCATATGTGACAAACCCACAGCCAATATCATACTCAATGGGGAAAACTGAACGCCATCCCTCTGAGAACAGGAGCAAGACAAGGATGTCCACTATCACCACTCTTATTCAACGTAGTACTGGAGGTTTTGGTCAGAGCAATTAGGCAAGAGAAAGGAATAAAAGGAACCCAAATACAGAGCAAAGAGTAAAACTCTCATTGTTTGCAGATGACATGATCTTATATATAGAAAACCCTAAAGAATCCATTGGAAATCTATTAGAAATAATTAACAACTACAATAAAGTTGCTTGGTGCAAAATCAACTTACAAAAATCAGCTGAATTTCTATACTGTAATAACGAACATACAGAAAGAGAACTCAAGAATACAATTCCATTTAAAATGACAGCAAAAAGAATAAAGTATCTAGGAGCAAATTTACCCAAGGAGGTGAAGGACCATACAATGAAAACTATAAGATATTATTGAAAGAAATAGATGATGACATACAGAGATGGAAACGGATCCAATCTTCCATGGATTGGAAGAACAAACATAGTTAAAATGTCCATACTACCCAAAGTAATCTACAGATTCAATGCAATCCCAATCAGAATCCCTATGACATTCTTCACAGAAATAGAACAAAGAACCTAATTCACATGGGGCAACCAAAGACTCCAAATTGCTAAAGCATTCATGAGAAAAAAGACCAAAGCTGGAGGCATCACAATGCCTGGCTTCAAAATGTACTACAACGCCATAGTTATCAAAACAGCATGGTACTGGTACAAAAACAGGCACATAGATCAATGTAACAGAACTGAAACCCCATAAATAAAACTGCACATCTACAGACAGCTAATCTTCGACAAGGGTGCCAAGAACATACAGTGGAGAAAAGATCATCTCATCCAGAAATGGTGTCGGGAAATCAGGACAACCACTTGCAAAAGAACGAAAGTAGACCGTTATCTCATGCCATACACAAAAATAAACTTAAAATGGATCAAAGACTTGAAGATAAGTCCTGAAACCATAAAGCTCCTGGAAGATAATATAGGTAGTACAGCTCTTTGACCTCGAACTTAAAAGGATCTTTTCAAATACCATGTCTTCTCAGACAAGAGAAACAAGAAAAAAGTAAACAAGTGGGGCTTCACCAGACTAAAGAACTTCTGCAAGGCAAAAGAAACTAGAATCAAAATAAAAAGACAACCCACCAACTGGGAGAAAATATTTGCAAATCATATATCTGACAAGGGGTTAATCTCCGTAATATATAAGGAACTCACACAACTAAACAACAAAAATCAAACAGCCCAATCACAAAATAGGCAGAGGATATGAACAGACATTTTTCCAAAGAAGATATACAGATGGCCAACAAGCACATGAAATGATGTTCAACATCACTAATCATCAGGAAAATGCAAATCAAAACTACACTAAGATACCACCTAACACCTGTTAAAATGGCTATAATCACTAAGACTAAAAATAACAAATGTTGGAGAGGGTGTGGAGAAAAGGGAACCCACATACACTGCTGGTGGGAATGCAAACTGGTCCAGCCACTATGGAAAACAGTATGGAGATTCTTCAAAAAACTCAAAATAGATCTACCATAGGACCCAGCTATCCCACTACTGGGTATCTACCCAAACAACTTGAAATCAACAATCCAAAGGGACATATGTACCCGTATGTTCATTGCAGCTCTATTCATAATAGCCAAGACATGGAAACAATCCAAGTGCCCACCGACTGATAAATGGATAAAGAAGATATGGTATATGTATGCAACGGAGTACTACTCAGCCATAAATAAGACAGAATCATCCCATTTGCAACAACATGGATGGACCTGGAGGGTATTATGCTAAGCGAAATAAGCCAGGCTGAGAAAGATAAACACATGATTTCACTCATATGTGGAATATAAACAAACACATGGACAAAGAAAACAGTTCAGTGGTTACCAGGGGAAGGAGATTGGGGATGGGTACAGAGGTTGAAGGGGAGCACTTATATGGTGATGGACAAGAAATAATGTACAAGAGAAATTTCACAATGATGTAAACTTTTATGAACTCAATTAAAAAAAAAACTTTAGGGGCCAGCCCCATGGCCCTTAAGTTCACACACTCTGTTTCAGCGGCCCAGGATTTCACCAGTTCAGATCCTGAGCATGGACATGGCACTGCTCATCAGGCCATGATGAGGTGGCATCCCACATAGCACAATCAGAGGCACTCACAACTAGAATATACAACAGTGTACTCAGGGGCTTCGGGGAAAAGAAGAAAAAGAAAAAAAAGAAGATTGGCAACAGATGTTAGCTCAGATCCCAGTCTTTAAAAAAAAAATTTCTTGTATAACTGAAATTTCACAAGGTTGTAAACTGTCATAATCTTAATTTAAAAAATTAAAAATTTTTCTTAAGTCTTTCTCTTAAAAAAAAGCAAATATAGCTTATGAATGGTAGAAGAGGGACACTTGAATCTCCAGGCTTTAAACATCAAGCCTAGTTCTTTTTATACATATACACCTTCATATGGCATTCGAGGCTCTCCAAGGCTGGCTCCATCCTGAATTTTATACTTTTACTCCACCATTCGCTTTCATATGTGAGCATACCCTCCAGTAAAAAGAATTCCTTTTCTTATAAAATATGCCCTTCTTTCGTTAACTTCTATGCCATTATTCCTAGGATTCCCTGACTGCTCAAAATGCAGAGCAAGTGCCACGGTCCTCATGCAACTTTCCATGATTCCTCACCTGGATTTAAGCTATGCCTTGTTTGTACCTCTACTTCATTTAATATTATTCTTGTAGCAGTAGTTAAATACAGACTTGGCACCTACCAGGCAGGGTAGACTTAGAGATTAATGAAGGCCAATTGGGGCATCGGTAGGCACAGTAAAGAGGGCAGTGTTCCAGAAAAGGAGCAGTGGTAGTTCAAAGGTCAAAGAGTGAGGTCATCACACCTGGCTGCCTCATTCACTGTTGGATGCTCTCCCTTCAAGCAGAGGCTAAGGCACGAGTCTCCTCCTGAAAATGATGGTGTTTCTCCTAAGTAAGCCTCCAGAGGCCAGACCACGGCCTTGCATTGGCCCCATCCTGAAAGCTGACTGTGGCCTTCTCAAAGCTTCCCAGGAAGCAGAGGTTGTGGCTGATGGTGTTCTTCCAGCCATTTGGAGCTGTCCAGAAAAAGAGGAAATGCTGTCAGGTGATACTTAGACCTCTTGCACTCTGAGGTCACAGGGTGGGCTATTTCTTGACACCAGGGCAATTAGGTGACTGTAATTAAGGGGGACCATGGCCAGGACCTCCTTTCCTGGCTGTTGCCTTGCCACAGCTTCTGGCTCTGGAAGCACTCCCCTTTGTTAGGGGGTTGGAGGGTCATAGAAGGGTTGCTATCTTGTTCCTCAGTATCCTCTTCTGTGAGCTCCCAGTTGCTGGGGGAAGAGGTGAACTGCTTTTGTGGGTAGATTACTCACTGGAGGAGGATGGCAGGGACTCCATTACTGTGGCCTCTGAGCAGTTAGATTCTTTGTCCTTTGGGAGTGGCTGAGGTGAAGGAAACATGCTTGTTAGATCCGTTTTCTTACTGGGTCTTGCAGCCTCCTGGCTGCCAAGGGAGTACACAATGTTGGGACTCACATCCACAGGTTGGCTTCAACGTCAGGGCCATCTTTATTAAGACTGGGTCTCCTCTCTTGAGGCACCTTTCGGGGTTCCGTTACTTGAAGCCTGTATTTGGTAAGGTCCTGCTCAGCTACGGGTCATTGGTCTGTGGTGCACAGCAGGAGGATCTTATTCGCCATGTCCCAGTCCATCAGCCCTGGGACCTGGCCATGGAGACTATACAAGAATTTAGGAGTTTTTAGTTTTAGGTCCATCTTTAGTGGAGAGGTAGATGGTAGGAGACTTCCAAAAGGACAGAGGTCTCTGAGGCACTTCTCAAAGCCCTTGTTGCGGCATTGTTTTTGATGCAGTATATCTCATCTAGGGAGTTTATTAGGAGGTCTGCTAAAATTATTGGAAAAGGGGGCACCTATGGTTCATTGATTAGTGGTCAGACTTGGAGAAACCTCAGGGTTCTGGACAGACCTCAAAATAAAGAAGTAACTAAAAAGAGCTTTTGAGCAGGAAAACAAGATCAAGGTGGAATTCCTAAGCTTTCATTAGAAGCAGGAAGAGTCCCCACGTGAGGACCTACAGATTTTGAATCATATTCAAACTAAAGTGACTTGCATAACAGGTGATTGTCTGGTACATCTTTCAACTCTTGCTGGATTCATTTAATGAAGGAACAAACACGTGTACAGATCACATTATATTTCTGAGTCATTCTTAACGGCTTAAAAATCATTTCATTTTTAAAGTGCGTTTTGTCAAGTGCTTTCACATAGATTATCTCATCTGATTCTCATGACAGCCCTGCAAGATAATATAGTGGGTATTATTAATCCCATGTTACAGATAAAGGAACTGAGATCTACACAATATTTAAGACTACATATCTAGTCTACATATTTAAGTCTACATATCTACATAGTAACTAACTGAAGACGATCTCTGTTAGCTTCAAACTCATGCTAGAACTCAACTATTCTATTATTTTCACTCCTGTTCTGGGAAACAGCTGGCTTTCCTCTCTCTAGGTCAGCTTCTCAGGAACTAAGTTCTAAACTGTACTCTGAAGACAGTAGAACCAAAATTTAGCTATGCAAATTTCTGAAAACTCCAGAGTTTGACTTTCCAGTAAATTCATCCAAAGGGCATTCTTAGGGAAAAAAAAATGGGAAGGTTTCATTTAATTGAGTCTGCACAAAATCTATCTAGAAAGTATGTGATTTCATTAAAACCATTACATAGGACTACACCACAAAAATTTCCAGCAAATGTCAATGGGAGCTATTGGGGGAACACACTAAACCCCTGTTGTTTCCCCACCCCCTTTTGTCCTATTCTACTCAAAATCATCCTCCATACATACTTTCAATGTTATCTTTCTACTGTATAAATATGAACATTAGTAATAACAACATCGTTGTCTACTGTTACATCAAATGCTCTAAGCACTATATGTGATTTAGTTAAATCACTAATAGATCATTAATCTTCAAAACAACCCTATGAAATAGGTGCTCTTATTATTCTCCCTTTACAAAGGAAGCAAAATGCCTAAGTCATATAGCTGGTAAAAGGCAGAGCTGAGTTTCAAATCCTGGCAGCCTGGCTTCAGAGCATGTGCTTTTACACACTATACTAATCTTTTCTGTTTCTCTACTCTAACATAAAATCTTATGACAATGCAGCATAAAATGCCCTCCAGAATCCCACTCTTTTTCACTTTTCCAGGCTAATTTATCACTTAAGCTTCCTTGCTTCATACTTCATATCCCAGAAATACTGAACCTCCGGGATTTTCACCACACCCCTCACCATCTTTTGTCTATGTCCCTTTGTTCCAGTTGCCACCTCTACTTGCAATGGCCTACTCTTAATTGCCTTGGCTTGGTTAACCCCTACTCATGTTTTAAAACTCAAGGAAGCCTTCTCTAATAAAAATGCTGCTTCTACCTCCCCACAGGGAGTTAATGGATCCTCTTCCCAGTAGGACACTGACCTGGGCAAAACAGAGGACTTAGCCTGAAATAATCAGCTTATGATGAAAACTCCAGAGAGCCTTTCCATTGTGTTCTGAGATACTTTGAAAGCCATAATCCCTTGTTCATTGCCATTTACTGCTTGTTTTCCTCTCCAAGTGTTTGACTTTAAGTGCCTGGGCAGGGGAAGGGAACTTTGTATAAGACGAAAAAAACCCCATAAAAACAAATAGAAACCTTGTCAAGATAGCTACATCCTGTGATGAATTTCACACAGCTTAATGCAAAGAAACTGTTCTACAGTAAGGATTAAGTGACTTGTCAAGAACATACAGACTACAGAGAGATTAGAGTCACGTTTCTAGATAAAGTACATATTTCAAATCATCTCAGCTTTCTTTGATTAGTCTCAAGAGGACAAGTCACGCTAACATACATAGATTAAACACAATGTAGCCAGCTTAATATGACATAGTGATTTCACATACTTTGGTAACCCTCTCCTCTTTGCTCCAAATATATAAGGAATAATGAATAAAATTACATAGAGAGACAGACCATAAAAAACAGTCAAGCTCAAACACGAGCAAAATATCTCATTAGATCAGAAATGCAAAATAATCAGTGGAACTGAAGCCATTGGCTTGCTGTTCTCTGAATTATCAAGCAGGAACTGAAGTCAGGAATTTGATTTCTTTGTGGGAAAGGAGACCAAAACTCAAGGACTAGGATGGGGCTCTCTCTGCTTGTGAAAGAAGCCAAAAAAATCTTGCTGCCTAACCTTGGCAAATTTCAGGTCTAAGAAAGCAGAAAGTCACAGACAAGACTTTGCAATTAGATGCTGAGTCAAGCTGTCTACTAGCTATTGTAAGTGGTTCTATTGGATCTCCTGGATCTGCGGTATCCTTAGTAACATAATGAGGCAGTAACTTGGAATTGCCATTATGAGACTTGGCAGTGGATTTATGCCTAGAGTGTTGGGAGGAAGCAAGAAAAACACGTCTAGATAGGGATAGGTAAGAATAAGCTAATGAATAGAGGTAGGTAAAAGGTAGAGAACAAAAACTTTCCATTCAAATTAGACTGAAAACTAAAATCCAAAACTGCATGAAGAAATTTAATAACAAGAAAAATTAACAACTAGATCATCTATTCACTCCAGATAGCAATAATACTATGGTGCTGTTTGGAAAATGAAACAGGTATGTTTAGGATATTTAAAGAGATAAAGAACTAACATATTAAACATGTATACAGTGAAAGGAACTGGCAAAGATGTAAAGTAAGTAATCTAAAATTTTGAAAATGAAAAGTGTTGCTGAAATTTTAAATGTGCAATAGATGAGACAAATGTAAGTGGACATGGTCAAAGAGCAAAGTGATGAATCAGAAGATATAGTACTAAAGAACTCACCCAGCATGCAGCAGATGGTAACAAAAATCCAAAAGAATAGTTAAGAGACATGGAGGATATATTCACCTAATTCAGTTAATATAAGTTTCAAAAGAATATGAAAAGAATGGTAAAAAATCAATAACCAAATATAAATTCCTAAGTACTTTCCAGACTTGAAGGAAGATGTGAGTTCTCAGATCAAAAGTCTGCTGAACAGGATAAATAAAAATCAACCCACTCCAAGACACACTGAATAAAACCTTTTAACAGCAAGAATAAAGTGTCAGGAAAGGTGAGTGCTTGATACAATGATGGTGTTGTTGAGTTAGGTGCTGGTGGTGGTGTATTGGCTCTCAGAATCTCTGAGAAGCCACTAGTACCTTCTGCTCTTGACATGCTCCTCATCTGAAATAATCTTCTCTCATTGTTTCCAAGATTATTTCATGAGTAATATGTCATTGGGATGATCAAGCTTTGTTCCATAGCGATTGGGATACAGACTTCAGAGGTGTGTGTGCCTAGCTATAAAGAAGAGAATTACCTCCTATTGCCCTGTAGCAGTGAGAAAGTTGTAGATATTGATGCTCAAACAAGTTGTGTTGAAAGTAACCTAATGGCTGGAGCTAAGACTATAATTGATAAAGCCAGAGTGGAGACATCGGACCTCTGCTTCACTTACAAAAAGATAAATGATATTGAAGAATAAAGCTAGTTTGAGTCCAACTTGAATGTGCAATTTGGAGAAGAAAATACAGATCCAGAAGCCATTTTCATTTCTTTGACGTAACCCCAACTGTTTCATATGGACTCTCTGGGACCTCTGTACAGTGTGATGGTTGAACAATTGGCTTTGCCTCAAAGGGTGCTGAGAGCTCCTCATAGGAATTTTACCACAAGGTACTGAAGCCTTCTCACAGTTTTTCTTAAATTGAGAAATAATTTACATACATTAAAATGCATAGAACATACATATTCAATTTGATCAATTTTGACAATTGTATACACCCATGTAACCACCACCCAAAACAAGACTTGGAACACTTCTGTCACATCAGAAGGTCTTCTCATCCCCTTTCCAGTCAATCTTCACTCACCCTTGCAAATACTTTTTGTCTCCTGTCACCATAGATTAATTTTGCCTGTACTTGTACTTTATGTAAAAATAATTGAACAATAATAATAATAAATAATAATAAAGCAACAATCTTATGAGCCTCTAGAAGGGAAAAATGCTTCCTTCTAAAGGAAGATTGCCTAGACTGGGGACAGGCAACAATGGATGTTATAAATGTTCACACATGCTGAAGTAAAGCTGTCAACCTGGATCTTTGTACTCAACTAATCACGTATGAGGGCAAAATAAAGACATGTTCAGTCTTTAGGCAGAGTTAATCACCTACATACTGTCATATGTATACAGGTAAATAATGTTTTGTAGCAATAAGAGAAGTTAGGCCAGAGAGAAAATATAGGGGAAAAAGAGAATCAATGGTGAGCAAAGTAACTGAGAAACTATGTTTAACATAAGTATAAAATTATAATAACTGATTTTTGTGTTTAAAAGTTCAATCTAAAATTTTATCCAAAAATGATAGGAAAGAGTTCAAGTGGATAGCTCAAGCATATTAAAGCCCCTGTCAGAGTTAAGAGGATAGAAATATTGAATAACTTAAGACTGGAGACGAGTGTCAAGATGGTGGCATAGGCAGACTCTGACCTCGCCTCCACCCATGAGCACAACCAAATTACAACTATTTTTGGAACAATTACCCTTGAGAGAAAACTGAAAACTGGATAAAAAGAGCCCCAGCAACAAGGGACAGTCCTGGCTGAGGCGGAAGAGGCAGAAATTCTGGTCTGGAGACAGAAAAGACACATTTGTGAGCCATGGAGCTTTACAGCTGTGTGAGAGCAACCCTAAGGTATACAGCCTTCCATGGAGGAGTAAAGGACCTGAGCAGAAGAGTGCTGGTGCTATAACCATCCCTCAGACTCAGTACAACTAAGACAAGTGTCAGAATATCTGGCTTTGCTGGCTATTAACTACATTGGGGAATACCCCTAGAAAAGCTACCAGACACAAGCAGAAAAAAGCCAGCTCTTAAAGGGCCCAAACACAAATTCATGTGTTTTAGAAAGCAACCTAAAATCACCAGAAAGAAAGGTGCAGAGTTCTTTGGTGAAAAGAGACTCACTGGATATGCTCTGGGTGCATCTCGGTGAGAGGTGAGACTGCTCCAGGGACTGAGACATTGGCAGTAGCCATTATTGTGACCTAGGACAAGGATGCTGACACAGATGCTGGCAGATGCCATTGGAGTAATTCCCTTGGCCTACTAGCCTAGGGTCTGCCTCACCCACAAGAGAGTCAAATTAATCCAGCTCAGTCAGGGTAGACAGGCTGCCTTAGGGAC